TCACCAGACCGTTCTCAAGTGCCGGCAAAACAACGTGGGACAGTCTGAAATGGCTCAGGGGAGAATAATAGCCCATTGCACCTTGCCACCAGCTGGTTCAAATGTGGCTCCAAAGGTTCCAAAGCCAGGCGATCCAATTTTACTAATTATTTTTTATGGGCTCAGTTTCCTCGATTTCGTGTCGGTTGCCTTCATCGATGTTTTCGGCGGCCCGTGATACATTCCCTGCGCTCCGAGAACAATTACTAGGGTTCCTAGGGCCTTTAAGGTTACTAGGGCCTTTTCTTCTAAGCTGGACCACTGAGCAGCTTGCGAGTGACTGGATCCATGCACCAAGCAAACGAAGGGAGTCACGTTTTCGTTACCGATAACAAGAGGCAGGGTACCGTATTGCAATACGTGATGTCAACATTGGTGTCATCATTCATGTCGTGCCCTTTCTACGCGCCGCCAGGACGCCGGGCGCGCGACTAGAGCACTGGAAAGGGGGGCGCAGGTTTGAAAAAGGGCCCACTGATAGCGAAAGGCCCCCCCCCGCAACAAAAATCACCGTAAATGGCTCGTTTCTTAAAAAGGATATTTTTTGCATTTTTACTTTAGCCTTCTTTAACTAGAAGAGTAGCCAGGGGGCGCCGTGAGATCAATTCTGTCAATGCATGGTATTAATTGCCAGTGCCCTCCACTATAAAATAAAGCAGTGAACTCGTTCTAATGCGATAGAACTCCGAAGCTTAGTCACAATCTTTATATGGGTTCTTCAGACACACTGAGGATCCCGCGAATGTAGTTTGTAGATCTAAATGACATGGCAACTTGCTTTACACATGCCCAAGTCGCGTTGGCTAGGTAATACTCAAGATTAGATCAGAATCGATAGGTGCCACAACTTCTGAAACTTACTTTTGAGCATGCGCGCTCGCAAATCTTAGAAACAAATCTTAGTCTTGGCACCAAACGTTGCAGTCTCCATGGGCCGCGCAGCGTCAGTCCGGCGGCCAACATTGAGCCGTGGCTAGGGGCTGGGTGGAAATGACGATGCTTCTGAACGAAGGATATTTGAACGCTTTAGGACCAAAAATATTGCATTTAGAAGGCGTGTTTTTTACTTGCGCGACTTTTAGAATGATGATAATAACGCATTGGCCTTTGCAACACCGCGAAATGGTGCTGGAATCTGGTGATAATACTGATAGAATGAAGGCAGAATGCCTGTTTTTCGTGTTGCTGTAACTGTTACTTCATTCAGAGGTCATCCTGAAAGTTGGAAAAAGATACGCCCAGTCTCATCTCTCAAAGGTATGAATTGAATTTGAACAACATCCGAAACCGTCATTTTACGACGGTCCGTCTCGCGCGTACGACGCTCGCCGCGTGGAGACCCTTATTTCTTTCCGCGCAAGGCCCCCCTTGAGCAGAACGCTAGGGATGCATCACTGTCCCCGGTCAGGGAATAAAGGGCAATTCCACTCCACCACGGGGAGTCTTCCGGCTGTTATTCTGGCAACTCGGGGCGGGACCCCCTGGTGGATCCGGGGGTCCGTAGAAGGATGCATCACAACGCGTTGTTCCCCTTTCTCACGAGAGAGGCCTTCTGACCTGCGCAATTGGCCCCGGATGGACGCAGGACCCTCATTGACACAAACATACCTGATTGTCGCAGGTGGTTCAATAATTGTCACGTAAACTTCAGCTCTGCTTAACGGGCCCCTGCTGGAATTGGGTTGGAGGACCAAACCTTTGGTACTGGGGGCCATGGCTGGCGCAGGACCCTTCCATTGTCTTAATGTGATCACTCACCATGAGTTCTCAGGTTTTCTTTCATTGTCAGGGGCCCCGACCAATGCAACAGGACCTCTGTATTTCGGGATTCCGTCCCCGTCCGTGTTGAGCGAATGTTCCCCTTCCCGACTCGAGGCCCCTTGTTGGCACAAAACCCCCTGCTAGGCACTGTTTACCCCTGACTGATACAGGAGCTCTGCATTGTCGCACTGGTCCCGACCAGTGAAAATCGTGTCCTCCGGTCTTGCTCTTGTTTGGAAATGGGCCTCCGGGTTCAGAATGACAGGAATATTTCATGTCACGACCCTACGGGCCGCGATTCTTTGTGACCTGTAGCCAGTCCGGGCGCTTATGCCTTCCAACCAGGCTCTTGATCGTCGGTTTCGGTGGGGCGCCCGGGTCCTTCTTCGGGCCTCATTGAGCACCGCTTTTGGTCGACTCGGGCCTCTTGTGAACATCGGGCCCTCTGTTAGGCGCTCAATCCCTTAAAGATACAGAGCCTTGGCCAGCGTAAATCGCTGACCCGGCTTTGCAGCCAATTGGGAAGTGGGCCCTTAGGCCCATACCGACACGGAGCCGACTGTACGGTGCTGGTGGTGCCTGACCATCATATAGGCCCATATCGACACAGGGGTCCCTCGGCGCAAAGAGCCCTCGGACTGTTGTTTGAGGGCCCCTGGATGAAACTCCAACCAGACCTTCGTGCCTTTAGACTGTCCAATCGGGCCCTTGATCGTCGGACCCGGTGGGTCCTCCGGGCTCTCCAGGTCTCCTCGAACTATGCCTCTGACCGACTCGGGCCCCTTATCAACACAGGGTCCCATTTGGCGTTGTAGGGTCCTGACAGACGCTGGGGTCCCGACCAAGGTAAATCGCTATTTCCGGTCTTGTCGCTGCATGGGAAATAGGCCCCCGCCCTATGCCGCCACGGAGCCGACTGTGCATTGTTGGGGGTGTCTAACCGACAGGTAGGTCCTTATGAACTCAGTGGGCCCCTGATTAGCGCGCAAGGCGCTCTGGCTGATATTAGCTTGCCCGACCCTGCTGCCCTACGAACCGGGGCCCCTGAATATCTCCTCCGGTCGGCCTTTCTGGCCCTTTGGATCCTCAAATCTGGTCCTAGAGCATAAGTCTTAAGGAGCCTAAAGGGCCCATTGGAACGTAAAAGGGAAACGTGCCCCTGTGCCCCCCCCCCCCCCCCTCTCTCGCTGCCCGCGCTACTGCAGGGCAAGTAGTAATCCAGGGATTTCTAGCCATTCATTTGAGCATGGTTTTTTCACTTAACGACTTGCGCGGTACACAGATGCTTCACTGCAGACAGCTGGGCTTCAACTCAGTCTCATGTCTTAACAGCGTTGAGTCGTCGCAAATCGATGCCTTGCCATTGTATCTCATTTGCGTTTCAAAACAAGATCGAAACAAAACAAAACAAGATTACATCCTTTCCTCTTTGCCTGATTTGGCTGCCTGTACAGATCTCCATACTAATTATGTCTGTCACGTTAGTCCTATTTAACCCGATTCTTGCCGAGTGTGGCTGTCTTACTGACGCTTAAAGAAATGGGCACAAGCACAAACAAAAATACGTTAGTTCGTGGTAGCCACTCACACGAAAAGCACACCGAACGGAAAACCGCCGAGGCGACCCGCAGCCTCCGCTCATATTTTTGAGGATGTCCGCTCGGGAACCCTCTCTCGACTTTCCCGCTCCGTGTACCGCCCTGGCAAACAACAGCCGAAGTCATCGTCCCTAGCTTTCACGCGGCCAATTGGCTACGCCGGTTACAGCGCCCGATGAGCAGGCGTTGGGCACGGGCTTATCATGTGGGAGCGCCACAGTGTTGTTTGTTAGTGGTTGCTGAACTGTCTGTGTACTGAATTTTCGGACCGCATCCCGTTTGAAACCTCTATTTAAGTGAGGCCCACTCTCAGTTCATCTCCATGTCAAACGTTAAATTCAATTTATCCTGATGTAAATTCATGCATGCATTGCTTCATCACCATCAATTCATGATGACGTAAACTAATAAACACTTGTGGCATGCACGAGGACATCAGCTACTTTGTAATTTGACTTGAAACGCTCCACCCTGTTCCAATACACTTGAAGTAGCCAAGCCTTGAATTCAGTGCAGTCTCAGTTCATGTCTTTTGGGGATTCCCGATACAGTCCAGTCCAATCATGAATTTTTCCTAAATTAACGTATTTTTCAAAGCCGCGAAGAGCTCATGATTTGTAGAAGAGTACATGATTTGATGCTCACGGGCAGGTTCCATCACAGTGAGCCTTTCACGTCCCTTGGTTTCCAGTAAACTTATCCCGCTTAGCCAGCTGCCAATTATAGCCCACGTGATAAATCAAGCGAATCATCACATCACCAATTCATCTGTCATCAAGAGATGTCCTGTACATCCAACGCGACCCTCACGTCCGTGTTTATGAGATCTCCAGCTTCAACGGCTACCAGAATGCCGCACATTGCACATTCCCTTTTCAACATGGCGGCGGGCAGCGTGTCCAGCGTCGTATCGGTCGTAGGTCAACATTCCGCTGACCACCGGATCGGACCCCACTGGCCCCTTGTTACCCTGCCCGCTATGGGTCGCTGGACTCTTTGTCCCCCGTCGCAGGCTTACGACCCCCAAAGGGTGTGACCTTTGTACGTGCTTCCGAAATTCGACCCAGCGCGAGGATTTTTTTAGGCGTCGTTAGGCAGACGCTGGCAGTTCGTGCGGCCAGGAATTCGCCCAAAAGTAGCTTCGCACCACGTGCTGAGACTGGGTAGGTACCAGTCGGTCCCACGGAGTGCTAATGCAGCGTCGACGATTTTTACCGACATTGGCTGCACTTGGTAGTCGTGCCGCGTATACTTGCAGACTGCTGCCATGCCCCTGCCATCTATATGGGGCGATAAATGTTGTTGATGCTGGCGACGTCCCTGGGGCCTAGGCTAACGCTGCGCTTACATTATTTCCGAGGGCATCTAGTATAAGGCCTTGATAACGACAAACTGTGTGTCATGGTTTAAATTCCCGTAAGACGTCGTAGCGACGCACGTTCCAACTGGTTCTATTCGGCACTCTTGTTGCAAGTAAAAAACAGAAATGTCACAAATGATAATATATACCTCGCTGTTACGCTATGATTCGGCCATTGGTATCACATCTGTTTGACTGATGCTAACTTTCCTGACTGATGCTGATACTTGCTTCCCTTCCAGCCAGTCGCCTACGGCGTCATCACCGTTTTCGACCATGAGGCGGCGGTCGTCCGCAGGGGATGCGGGGGCGCTTCCGGGCTTCGCGACATACCCGCGGCGCGCATCTCGAGTTGTAGCTCACTTGCTCGCCCACAAGATGGCAGACACGGCAATCGCTCAGCCGGGCTGGCCAAACAACAAGGATGAATACGAATTAGGTCCCGTTATAGGTAAGTAATGCCGAACGTCATCGTGTGTGTACACCTATAGAATATTTCTATGCATGTTGTGTTTTACTTCTGGCCTGCAAACTGCCGAAATGTGCATTTTCTGACATGGCAGTGAAGCTGGCGCTTTTGTTTCATTTACCGGCTATTTGATATAATGATTTTAGCACGCTAGGATACTTTTTCATTGCTCCTTTTATTTTTGGTCATGCTTCTCAATGTCCCTGCTTTGCTGTAAACAAATTGATTAAAGCTGAGTTTTTTTATTCCCTAAAACCTTGACCAAAACCTGCATGCTGAGCTGTGTTAGAGTAGCTATGCAATACTCAAGTATATGGTGCTGAAAAAGCTTACATTTTTTTATACAGAAAAAAACATTAGCATAAAGCATGTGGTGCCCATGACACCTATAAATGTGGCATGATTTTTTGTTGTTTTTTGTTTGTATGTGACAGTAATACCTTACAAGTGGGCATTTCCTATTGTGTGCTATAATATTCTGTTAGCCTGCCACCTGTCTTTTAACATTTTGGTTGAAAGCAGTCATCACCATGGAGTCTTGTACTTTGGTCAGGATGTACAAGTCTGATTTAGTTAAACACATGATATACACATATAATATCCTCTTTTAACAGTTCAAAGAAACAAGTAGTATCAAAGTCAGTATTTGCAAGTTTCCCTGATGACTGACCTGGCTTCATTAGCAAACAATGAGTTTAAAAACTGACTTCCTGTACTAAACAGCCATCTAAGTACCAATTCAGGACAATCCAAGGAACTGTGATAGGTTTGCAGTTTCTCAGGCCTATGCTTTATCCTGATTTTGTGAAATGGATCATGAATTTGAGTGGATTCAAGTGGAGGTTAATCTGATTCTGATTCAAAGCAGCTGTTGGAAGCTTGACTGGCATAGTGTATAGCAGGTGCAGTAAGAATCAATGAACCTGATTCTAAACCCAGATTTGTCATTAGCATTGCATTGACCTTGAATGTAAAAGCTGAAACAGGAGCCTGTGATCTGAATAAGCATGTGAACTATTACACCCACTTAAAAACACTAGTAATGTCCTTGGAGTGGCAAGCTCAGAAGTTCTTACTCTGAACCTGTGTTTCATTTGAGGGATTTGTGTCTGCATGTTTATTACTTTTGATCTTGTGCATATGCATCTGCTCACTGCAATGTCTTAACTCTGCTGGAATGTCATAGCCACATTATTTTAGGTACACATATACACAGGTGTCAGGATTGTTGTCAGAACCATATTTATCTTAATACCATCCCGACTTCAAATTTGACTAATATGTCATGCCTACTGATCTAAATGCTGAAATAGGTAAAGATTCATTCACATGCAAAAATGAGATATTTGCATGCCATTAAATTCAGAATGCCTTAGATCTATGGTCCCTCAGATATATCATTGTGTCCATGTTCTGAACTTAGACCACCACAGCATGTCTGACCACATTTCTACCACTAGGTGTTGGTGCAACAGCAGCTGTGCATGAAGCACTCTGCATACCCCGGCAAGAGAAATGTGCAATAAAAAGGATCAACTTGGAGAAATGGAATACGAGTATGGATGAGCTGTTGGTAAGGTGCCCTTTTTGCTGTATGTTGATGTTAATGGTGTTGCATGCAGCAAAACTGTGCTGGTCATTGCTTAGATTCATCTGCCATGAAAGCAAAGATCTTTTAGATTTGGAATTGAAAAATAGTGAAATCCAGAGGGTTTCTGTCGTTCAAAAGTGGCTACAGGTCTCATGTGATTTAGCATGTTACTGGCTGGTCAATCATGGCATTGTATATATTTGCTTGATTTTTGGGACATGCTGGTGAATAACCCTTTTACATCAAAGTTAATGAAATTCTTCATCTTTTTCAGAAAGAAATTCAGGCCATGTCATCATGCCACCATGACAATGTAGTGTCATATTTTACTAGTTTTGTTGTTAAAGAAGAGCTTTGGCTAGTACTCAAGCTTCTAAGTGGTAAGTAATTGGTAACCATGAACATATCATTTGTTTGAATATGGTGATGTGTATCACAAATACAAGTTTGGTATTCACTTGTTTGGTTTGTGGCATACATTTGTTCAGTGAGATTTACTGCATGGTAAAAGTGTGCTGTGTGGAGCTGGTGGCATGGCTCATGTTATTGAAAATTGTCATCATGTAATCTAGAGGGAAGTTTTGAACTGCCGTGAAACTATGCCTGTTTGCATTATTTTGAATACCATGTCTGCAATGTAGTCTTGCAGTTTAGTAGTGGCTGTAACAGATCTGTTGCCCATTGTGTCACTCCACTCTTTCAATTGGATGGCAGAGTATGAGCTATTCATGCCTGTGACCACAACAGGGGGCTCGCTGCTGGATGTCATCAAGCATCGCATGAAGACGCAAGACTGCAAGCATGGCGTCCTTAGCGAGGCCACTATAGCCACTGTCATGAAGGAGGTGCTGAAGGGCCTGGAGTACTTCCACAGCAATGGCCAAATACACAGGTGGGGGCCATGATTTCTCATTGTTTTCGACGCCGCCGTGGTAGAAAATCCCGGCTGTGAGCTGAGTTGTGCGTTTCCTGAATACATTTGACCTTTGCAGACTTCATAATCCGCCATTAAGTTATCGTTATGAAAAAACGAAGGCGCGCCGCGAATTTAGCACGGATGTGTTTGTCATCGATACATGCGTGGACAATCATCGCACCCCAACTTCGGGCCAGCTGATGCAGCTGGTGTGACCCCGGGCACACGCCATTGATGACCTGAGTGTGGTTTCATGGTGCCACACTCACCTGCTGTTTTGACCCTTGTGGCGACCCTGTGATCTCAGACCGCAAGCTCTACCCTGGCGGTTATCGCCAAGAGCGTGGCAACACTTCACGGCCCACTGACCTTGTGTTGACCTCCACCCTCGTGACGACTTCGTGACGCACAGCCTCAAATATATTCGACCAGCGTTCGCGACCGTAGACGTGGCCTGTTTGCGACCCCGCAAGAGGCCACCCGATGGTGAAGGATCGTGAGCAGAGGTCAGGTCAGACAGAGTTCAGGCAGATGTCCGAACCGTCACCGCCTGCTGCTGCTCCAGGGACATCAAGGCGGGCAACATCCTGATCGGCGAGGACGGCAGCATCCAGATCGCCGACTTCGGCGTCAGCTCGTGGCTGGCGACGGGCGGCGACCTCAGCCGAGAGAAGGCGCGCCACACCTTCGTTGGCACCCCGTGCTGGATGGCGCCCGAGGTCATGGAACAGGTGCGCGCGGCGGCGGCGGCGGCGGTCGCCTCCGGGGCCGGCCGGCGCGTCGGTGGGGGACCACGCGGGGTGGTGACGTGGGCGGAGCAATGTCGAGGTGTGGTGGAGGGGCGGCTTCTTGAGTGGGGCCCGCTCGTCTGGGTGCTGAAAACTCCCAGACTATGGTGTGTTTTGGACGCCGTTTTTGTAGGACAGGTGGTAAAGATATGACGACGCGGCTACAATCACTATGCCTATCGCGGCGTCCTATATCGTGAGTGATTTTCGTATTAACCTAACGGTATTCTAGTGCCTGTCTTGACTGAACATGCCTGACCTTTACTTGCAAACGAAGCGGGCCAAGTTCGTTGCTCCAGCGCTGCTTTCCGTTACCTTCCAAGAAACGTCATCAACCCGTATCTTATGTTCTGGAGGCGGAGAGGGGGGGGGGGGGGGGGGGTCAGAGGTCGCCTGGGTGATGATCGTGGTTATGCCGTGCAGCATTGGCGGCCGGCCGAGGTGTGATGACGTTCTCGCTGCCCAGGTGACGGGCTACGACTTCAAGGCGGATATCTGGTCGTTTGGGATCACGGTGATAGAGCTGGCCACGGGCACGGCCCCGTACCACAAGTATCCGCCCATGAAAGTACTCATGCTCACGCTGCAGGTGAGATGACCACCTCTATAAGCGATGCTCTGTTGCCGTCGCGGCGTTTTGAAACGTGTTTCTCAAGGACGCCCACGAACGCTTTCCTCGCTTTTGTCGGGGTGCAGGTCTCTCCCTGCTGACCTATTGAAAACAACACGTTGGCATGCCTGCGGATGCGCACCATTTCCCTTCAGAGCCGCGTGGTTGGGTCCAGCCCCCGCTGCCCATGACAATAAATCCATAGCAGCTTCCCAAGTCATACTTGAGCGTGCCCACACTGCCGTGACGCGCATCGTTTGCAAGATTGCGTGCGTCGCCGGGAGCTCGCGAGGCGTGTTGGAGAGTGCTTTCGCCGCCACGGTCCGCGTGGTCGGCGGGTGACGCCTTTCGTTCGCCGTCGCAGAACGACCCGCCCGGCATCGACTCGGCCGCCGAAGACAAGGATCAGTACAAGTCATACGGCAAGACCATCCGCAAGCTGGTCAACGACTGCCTGCAGAAGGACCCAGCCAGGCGGTGGGTGCGGGCGGGCCGGCGGGGCGGTGGCGCCCGCCGCCGGTGGGGAACGTCGCCACGCAATTCCGGTGTCGCGCGTGTACAGTTGGCATGGGCTGAATGACGGGGAGCGTGGTACAGGCCAGGGTGTTGTGCATTCAGTGACGCGTGCGTGACATTTAAGTTTGACTCCTGACCGTGGTCCCGTGATGACACTTTGTGGCAGCTGTGTCGCGCGTTACGGCTGGCGAATCGTCATACTTCGTGTGGGATCGTCTAATTCTCTTAAAGTGTTGCTTCACGTTCAGTATTCATCACTCTGAGCATCGCTCGTTAAAAACAGATTTCATGCGGACGGGACACTCGAACCACGCAACGCTTGCGTTAATGATGCGTCGACGACCGGATAGTCGCGTGGCAGCAGTTGTTGTTCGTGCCGTGCTTGGGGCGGTCTCGGCATCACGCGCTGTTCCCGTGCGCAGACCCACCGCCTCGGAGCTCCTGAAGCACCCCTTCTTCAAGAAGGCCAAGGACAAAAAGTTCATCCAGCAGATGTTCACTCAGTCGGGACCGAAGCCGACCGACCGTTCCGCCAAGGTGAGAGCGGGCCGTACTCGCCACTCTCAGCAGCTGTCGGGCGTGTGTCGCTCTTTGGAGGGCAGGGCCACCCGCTGCATTGAGCGCCGTCGGGCGCGGGCTCCAATGGGCAGAGGTAAAAGCTCTTAGACGCCGGTTATGCTAGAACACTTTGGTCATATCAGGTGACAACCGAAGCGCGGCACCGTAGTGGCCAGCTTTCAGCACACGGCAGAGAGGTGAGCCGGCGTCCATGGCTGGGCTCGTCGTGGGCCGCCGCGTGCGTGCCACGCAGCCGGCGCGGCAGCGAGCGTCCGGTGCGCTGGTCGCATGCGGTCCGCGTCTCTGACGGGCCGTCTGACCTCTGGCCCCGACCCTGCGACACCGGCGCTGATCTCTGACGCTTACCTCGTGACACCGGCGCTGACCTCCGCCGGCGCCGACAGGTGCGCACGCCCGGCTCCTCGGGCCGCTTCCACAAGACCGAAGAGGGCAACTGGGTCTGGTCGTCGGGCGAGTCCAGCGAGTCGGACGACGAGCTACCGGTGAGCCTACTCACACCCTTTTCGCCACCGGCGCAGGCGCGCCGACAGCGCCGGCGGCTAGCGGCGCAAGCGTTGTGTTCGGTGCCGTTCTCACTCCACGGGTGTGCCGTGCTGCGGCGGCTGAAGTCATGAGTCAGATTCAGGGTCTGTTCTGCAGTCATGTGTTTATGTGTGCCCGTTGGCGTGACTGGCAGTGTTCGGTCTCCCGTTTCGGCGTGGTTCTGCGCGCTCTTATCGGACCATTTTGTGGTGGACTCATTGTGGCAGCGGGAAGTGTTGCGAAGTTTGACTCAGTTTGTCTCTGTCTAGACCACGACGGGGCGATGGCTTCTTAGCGCGCACCGGCCCCAAAGTCATATGCTTTCTTTATTGGTGGCACCGTGCACGCTGCCGTATTGGTTTGGACATTGTCAAATGCATCGCACGTTCGTACCGTTGGTGGTGTTCGCGTTGCTCGCTTTCTTTCGGTTTTGCCAGCGTCATGACGTTCGCGCAGCTCCAGCCGGTTCGTGACCATGCCGTGGCCCGCCCCGTGACCAGCACCATGGCCCGCGTCGTGACCATGCCGTGGTCCGCGTCGTGACCCGTGCCGTGACCCGCGCGCCTTCTCCGCAGGCGAGCGGCGGTAACCGGTCGGCCGAGCCTGCCACCGACCCCCAGTCGGGCCCGGCCGGCGCACCTGCCACGCCGGCGCCCGCCTCCGCCGCCGCTGCCGCCCCCGCCGCTGTCCCCGCCGCCCCTGCCACTGCGCCGGCCGCCCCCGCTGCCGCCGCCGCCGCCGCCGCCGCGCCCGCCCCGGCCGGCGCGGAGACACCGGCGGCGGCGCCCGAGCGCAACTGCATCGACCTGGTGCTGCGCATGAGGTTTGTGGCCGGCGAACCGGGCGGCCGCCGCGGCCGTCCGGCTACAGTTCGGCTCAGCCTGGTCAGGCCCGGCTTCTGGACTACGTTCCTGTCGTGAGAATGCGTCTGTCTCGGTCCTATGTTCTCTAGAATAGCTGCATTTGGAACTGGTATTCAGCGAGCCGCTGGGAATGGCTTTCGATTAGTCTTCACGCGGGCCGCTTATATTTCAGGACACGTTTCTGAGGCTTGGCTGTGGCCATGTCGCAGCTGAGCCGTGGAACATATGACCTCAGCGTGCTGAGGGGGCAGTATTTCCATCGCCTTGCAAATCCGGCTCATGCCGGCCGGTTCTCTGAGCTCGTGCTGCTTAAGTTGGGTTTATATAGCGACGATCGATGGCCAGGTTCTCTGATCGACGTTTGGACGGCTGAAACCCGACATGCGTGCTGTAGGTGAAAACGGAGAGCAGTGAAATAGGAGCGGAAACGAAACGACACTGACCATCGCGCACTGCACTTTGCGTTACACAGACAGCGGGCAAACATTTAGTGTTGAGAGGATAAAAAGAAGATGCGTTTCGTTTTGCAATCACTTGCAAACAAAAACACTCGCGTTTTTGTGTTGTTGCAATCAGCCCAGTTCAAAGCATACGGTATTAGTGCTCACTATTTCCATTTCAAATGCCCGTTGTAGTGCGGCCGTGGGTGTGATGCCTCTGGGCCATAAGCGCATGTGAGTAAAACTTGGCCGGATAGCCCAGAAGGCATGAAATAGCGCCAAAGAAAGTGTAGCATCTTTAAGATGTCACGTAATGGGGGCGGCCCAGGTGCGCTAATGTGTGTGCCACGAGGTCTTTGCAGCGTTCGCTGTTACCAAGTCGCGTCAAAATTTGCACATGGTTCAGTAACAGTGGAAGGTTGAGGTTCAGTAAGTATTTATATTGGGTAAGATTTAACTATCGTGTGGATTTTCTGTTGCGTTGTTTGTTTTTCTGCTTTAGGAGAGGTTTGTCTCACTGGGTTTAGTGTCCTAACGGGTGTCAGAATGAAGTTTTGAAGTGGCGGCCTGTGGCCTGCGGGTTTGAGATTCTGGTGAGGCCCCGTTTGGAGGCTGATGGTTTTGCTGGCATCTGAAAGTCCTGGTGGGTCAGACTGAGTGTTCCCTCGGCGGGTGAGGCTGAGCGTTCTGGCGAATCAGAAGACCTAGCACTACTGGAAGTGATAATTGTATTTCGGCGCCCGTGAAGCGCGCGGGGCTCGACAGGGAACCAACGGTGCAGCAAGAGAATGATGTGATAGATTCAGTATGCGACTGGGCGTTATTGGCAGACGTTGCTGTGTGTTAAGCCTGGGGCGGACCTAGGGTTGGCAGGGACCGGTGCAAGCAGCTTCTGCCAGCCAGTTTTTGCCGGCTTAAACCGGCTGGCACAAACTAGTGGTGATGAAAACGGGCAAACAAGCAGCAGTCACGCATCGCACGAGCCATGTTCGGTCCGGTCGTAGGGATCACACTCATATGTTATTTTATGTACCAGTTATGGCAAGGACACCGTATTTTCGTATCATGCTGTTTTATTGTCGTATTGTTGCTATTCTTTCAACTGAATAGGGAACACTGACCGAATTGTAATGGCACATATAGGTGATGGAAATGTGACTATAATTCGTTCTTGCCAGTTTATGCTGGATTTTACCGGCTTTAAGCCATTTAAAACAACAGAAAGTGGCAGAACTTAGTTCCAGCCGGTTTAAATGCCAACATGATGAAGACCAGCTCGCTGTTATAAGCTGTAAGTTGTACCAGGGGGCACGGGGTTGTACGAGCACTTGCTCCTGGAGTAGCTCTACACTGTATGCACATGCCGGACCCTCCGTGCGTGGCAGGCGTCCCCGGACATACCATTCTTCTCCCTGAACCCCACCGTTACTCCACTCTGTGTCCCGTCCTGTCCTCCACCTCATTCCTGCCCTCTCCTTGATCTGAGGCCCGACTCAGCTGTCTTGCTGACCTCCCCTGAGCCCGCCCTGACCTCTAACCCCACCCTGACCTCCCTTGACCCGCCCCTGACCTCTGACCGCGCCCTGACCTCCCCTGAGCCCACCCTGACCTCTGACCCCGCCCTGACCTCCCTTGACCCGCCCCTGACCTCTGACCGCGCCCTGACCTCCCCTGACCCGCCCTGACCTTCTCTGACCCCACCCTGACCTCCCCTGACCTTGGCGCGATCTCTCGACATCCACGCCCGGCACTGACCCGCGCCGGCACGCGCGCAGGAGCCAGCAGCGCGAGCTGAACGACATCCGGTTCGAGTACGAGTACGGCCTAGACACGGCCGACAGCGTGGCGCAGGAGCTGGTGGCCGCCGGCCTGGTGGACGGCCGCGACCGTATCGTCATCGCCGCCAAGCTGCAGGCGATCGTCGACGACCCGCAGCGCGTCACCACGCTGACCTTTCCACTGGTAAGCGGACGGCCGGCGCCGAGCGGCCGAGAGCGGGTGGGTGCGGCGAGTTGGCGGCCGGCGCCGCTGGCCGCCGGCGCCGGCGCCGGGCGGCCGAGAGTGGAAGGTGCCGCGAGTTGGCGGCTGGCGCCGCTGGCCGCCGCTGGCCGCCGCTGGCCGCCGGCACCCGGCGCCGGGCGGCCGAGAGCGGGTGGGTGCCGCGAGCTGGCGGGCGGCTCCGCCGGCTCGAGGCTGCTGTCGAGTGCGGGGGTTTTCGTCGTTGGGGTCCGGGCGCGTGGCTGGGGATGCTGCGGTTGATGTCATGGGCCTGCTCTGGACTTTGAAGAGCGCTGGCGTATTCTGCGGCATGTGTTCTGGTCTTTTCTGGGGTTCTGACCTTCGTGTTGGGATGCATGTAATCATGTGGTCGCAGCCCCTGAAAGCCCCAAGACTTGATCAGTCAGGCGTCAGCATTCTTACGGTTTGTGCCGTTCCGTCATCACTTTAGCAAATCCTTACCCTGCTTGCACCATTGAGCATTTGAGACAAAGACGCCGTGAAGCATTTGCGCGGAGTTGTGACATCAGCATCGTATCGCGCAACGGCTGTGGTTCTGTCGTTCTGTTCTGTTCTGACTCCCCGAACGCCATCAGAGGCGGGTGTGTTTCCGACGACGTGTTAACGGCGTTTGGGCGTGTTCACCCCGCAGACGGCAGGCTTCTGCGAGCCGCACGAGCGGGATGAGACGGCGCTGATGGGCTACGGCCAGCTGACCATCGACACGCCGGCCGGGCCGCGCCAATGAGAGCCGTCTGCCGAGCTCGCCCCGAAGCTGAACTCGCTGCGCGCCGATAGATGGCGCGAGCTCAGCGGGCGGGCATTAGTCATGTAACTATGCCATATGGCCAGGGCACGGCCAGGAGGACAGGTCCAATGACGTTGTTTTGTTTGATTTTCAAAACTGTTTCTTTTCGCCGTGATGTACGCGTGTTTACGTGGTGTTTTCGTCATAGTGGGAATCGGGTAGACGGTAGCGAGTGTTCCTTAGCCGCGGATTGCTCCCGTGTTGATCATTATTCTGTGGGTCTATAGAAGTGGTGGAGTAGCAGGACTGGTGCTGTCCAGCTATGCAGCCGTGCCCGAGGTGCGCGGGTTCCAAGTAGCGTCGTTTGTATCCAGTTGGACGGGACTCCGGCGCGCGGGTCACCCGCCCGAGCCGCCTCGCCTTGGTGCTCTTCGATCGTGCCCCTCGTGGGCATGCGGCAGGACGAATGTCGCTGATTCAAGACTGGCAATATGTGAAATGGTCGTTTTCCGACACGTTTGTCGCCCTCGAAAGGCGTATGTTTCCGTCGTGTGCCCTGTCGTGCGGCCCGGTATTTCGGTGAAAGGTGCGCTACGAGGTTGCTCGAATCCGATTTGGTGGAACTCGTTTGTTTTTGCTGAAATTTGGTCGTCAGATGAAGCGTTTGCAATCCCTGTCTTTTTCTCGGATATTTCTTTTGTTGTCGTGGAACCGACACGTGACGAATCGTATTTGTGTTTGTGTATCGCCATGCTTCCCTCGCGGGGTCGTCTCGTCAGGACGCTTGCCATGATATTGCTTCGTATAGTCGTCCTGCGACCCGTCTTTGGCGTCGTATGCTGATATCCAAAGGCCTTAGCCTCCGCTGCAACCTCAGATACCCCTGGCCGAGCTTCCCTTCCGTCATGCAGTCTCGCACATGCTCTCTTAGCTGGTTTGCACATAACGGTCCGAGTTAAGTAACCGAATTGCCTCCCCCAGAGCTGGTCACCGCCCCGGAGGGGCTGGCCGCTCTCACCAGCTCCGCCTGCTCGCGGCCGACCCCAGCCCACCACCGCCCGCCGGCCGGGCCGAGGCCGCCGAGGCCGCCGTGGGGTCCCCCGGGGGCAGCGATCCCTGCGGGACGGCAATGGATGGACGGAGCAGACCCTGCCCCGTCCCGGCCCTGGTCGCCGGAGCTGGCGGCCGTCGCGTCACGCCGCGGGGGCTGGTGCCGCACCGCAGACTCGTGGCTCGCTGATGTGGAACTCGCGCCATGATCACGGCGGCCGTAGCGGAAGTGCACCCTTCCAAAATAAACTGCAATTCATAGAATGTACGCGGGTCTTTCTACAGAAATGGGAGCGAGAGACGTGATTGTGCCGTTTATCTGGTTGGCAGCTTTTCCTCTCAGCTATCTTGGCAACTAGCGAAGTTAATAACGCATAGCAACATTGCGTCCTATCGTTGGTAATGCCGCTTGAGTTGGCATGTCAGAACTTTGGGGTACGCCCGGGTATAATATTATGGCTTAACTTGGCACCGGCCGGCATCGCAATGCCGAGTTCGTGTCAGCCAATGTGGGTGCAAAGCTTAGCGCGATGCTGAACCTGGATGGCCTGATATGTAGGCCATGCACGTCCCCCCCTCCCCCCCCCCCCCGATAATTCATGTCATAAACGCGTGCTTCAGATTGCATGGGAGTCTCCCTCGCGTGACATCCAAATATTCCAACATAATATGACGAAAAACCTCCCACCCGTAATGACCTGGCATAAGGTGGAGACTAGATTTACCTCTGTTGACCCCGCAATGTGGCATCAGAAGCAAATACACTTAAAGACAAGTCACATACCTTAAGTGTATATGCTACTGAGGCATCCTTACCATTCAACGTACCAAGAAGACAGCCAAGTTTAAGACAAGCCAACTCTTGCGAATTGTGGTTGTTAGCCGCAGTCATGTTTAGCTAGCGTCTGACAGCGTGACTACTGGACCTGGGACCACCCAGGATCGTGAAACAATGTACTAGTGATTGCGGTTTAACATGCTAACATGCTTTTTCACAGCGTGTGCTTCGAGCATCGTGGCGTTTAGCACAGTTCGCCGTCCGGAAGTGTCTTTTCCGGTGACAAAAGCCGGCGCACAGTTTGTGTGTGCTAAAGGTGGGAGGGGCAATGGCGTCAGTGTTTGCTGACGGCAGGCAGAGTCACGAGGTCACGCTTTGAGTGGGGCACCACCTCTTGTGACAAAGGTCACAGACGGCGTGGACGCCCCTCAAGCATGTCCGATACGGCGACTGCCACCCACGTTCATGCGATATGGATCGCGATATCTCCCTGATGCATCGACCCGGGCTATCTGGCGTGGCGAGAAACCTATCAGAGCGGCGAACTTAGGTCCTTTTAACGCGTCTCGGCGGAAGGTTCGCAACGTTCTGACAGGCTCCTCCATCGTACCATCGTGTTGCCCCGAAAAAGGTACATGCGTCGTCTTCCCCATAGCAAATCTCTCGTGGTGCAGACGGAACGAACCCACTGACACGCGTTTCCTCACGGCCGCCACACCAGCTGCTTCTGCTCCGCGCGGAGTCAGCGGCAGACCGAGCGCGTTCGTGCGACTCGAAGCTGCACTTCCTGCGCACATGAACAGCCGGCACCGTGACCGTGACCACCACCATGACCCGTGGGATGGCCGGCACCATGACCACCACCATGGCCAGCTGCTGCCGACCAGCTGCGCCACGCCGCGTCGTCCGCCCGCCTCCGCTTGTGGCGCGGCACACCCCCGAGTGAACCGCGAGGCGCCTGGCCGAGCCCGCTCACGCCGTCCGGCTCCGCCTCGGCTTCGCCGGACGGGCTGCGCTCGAGCCACTCCATATTTCAGAGCGCGGCGGGGCAGACATCAGGGCGACAGGCGGCAAAATCCCCGGGGGCTTAAAGGTCGGCGGGTCAGAAGGCGACTGACCTGAGAGGGCTCGACAAGGTAGGGTCTGTCTGGAGGACGGACACACTTGGAAGATACTCAGACTGGCCGCCCTGACTGAGGGGTGCTCTGTCAGCACCGATGAGACATGGTGCTGAAGTGTTACACGTCACTTTGCTGGCAATTTCGCGGCGAGGCCGTCTTTTGTGGTCATATGTCGATGCCGCGACGCCTCTGCTGCACGGCGTGATGTTTTGGTCAGCCAGTCAGTTAGCTGACTACATGGGCACCTGCCCCGGCATCTCGCTCGCAGACATGGTCGGATGACGCGAAACTGCAGGCGATTCGCTCACAACTATCCGTGAAGCAGTTCACTTTCCTCGAGTGACTGAGCCGAAACGATATAAAACTTGAGCAGATAAAATGTAATAAAATTGTATATCCCGTTTTACCTTGCACACCAAATTTCCAGGGTTGGACACGGGAACGAGGGAGAAACTGTCAATTCTTGGAAGTGTTTGAGGAGTATACGTGTTCTTCCTAGCGGAAAAGACAGTCCAAATTCGTCAGCACCCAGCCAATTACTTTGCCGGTGGATCGCATTTTTAGTGGTGCCTCAATGAAAAATGATACTCTACGTGTCCGGGGACGATCGAGGACGCACGGACCCCGACAAGAAAGCGGTCTGTTCGCGTGAGTCGTGAGAAGATTGAAGTGTACGTGAACGGTGCTTTCGCCATCCCGTGAGGCGAGTTGCAAGCTATCGCCAAAACCCCTCCGATGTATCCCACCTCAGGTCCGTAACGTCCTCACAACACGCCTCGTTTGGGTAACACGTGGTTACATCTGTGTATTGGTACAAAATAGCATTTGGTTCGTTCGCAGCTAGGTATCTGCGGTCGTAGCCTAAGCGTCTACCCAGCGTCAGCCGTCGGGCCCTGCCCGCCGATCCCGGCGGCGGCGGGGCCGGGCGGCGAGCTCAGTTGCTTCGTCTGGGGGCACCGCCCGACGGGCCGCCGCCGGTCGGCGCGCTGGAGCGACACGCGTCTAGGTCCCGGCATCCCGCCCAGGCCTCCTCGGCTCGCGCCCTCCACGCACGTATGTATATGGGGACGAGGAAAAAAAGGGCGACACGGAAACGACACTGACGTACACTACGTTATGATCTGGGCCAGTAACCACGAATACTACCCGTCCTCCCGGCCTTCTTTCTAACGACCGGCGCACGCGGCCGTCACGTCCCCCGCCCCTCCCCCCTCTCCACCACGCCCTGACGTCACTCTGAGTCTCAACGTCACGCCGAACTCAGACGTCATCCAGAGTTCCGACGTCGCTCAGGGTCCAAATGCCACCCCGAGTTCCTCCTGACCTCAGGCGTGGCATAGTGCCGAGTCCGACGCCACTCAGAGTCCCGACGTCACACCGAGCGCCGACACCACTCCGCACCACTCCGAATCCCGACACCACTCTGCACCACTCCGAATCCCGACGCTACTCCGCACCACTCCGAATCCCGACGCCATTCCGCACCACTCCGAATCCCGACGCCACTCCGCACCACTCCGAATTCTGACGCCACTCCGCACCACTCCGAATCCTGACGCCACTCCGCATCACTCCGAATCCAGACGCCACTCCGAGTCCCTCCTGCCCCCGGATGCGGCAGCGCTCCGAGGCCCAACGGAGTGCCGGAGTCGGAGTCCGCGCTCAGAGTCGCGCGTCACACCGAAATCTCCTGCACATCCGGCAGGTGCGGTCACAAGCAGGTCCCATTGACGTCGGGCGGCGGCAGCTCCACCACCGAGACGACCCGCCGGCCCGACGACAGCGTGACCTGCGAGTCGCGCGAGGCGTGCAGCCGCACGGCGAGACCTGTCTCGCGGCGCGCCAGCTCCAGCAGCGACGGGTTGTCGAAGAGCGAGGCGGTGCGCGTCGAGCGGCCCGCCGCCCGCCGCGGCGCGCCGCCGCCTTCAGCCGCCAGAAGTGGCGCAGGGTGCGCTTCACCTGCCGGCGGGCGGAAGGGGTCACGGGTCGGCCGGGCAGACGGTCATGGGTCAACGGGGCAGACGGTCAGGGGTGGGACGGGCTGACGGTCGGGGGTCAACCGGGCAGACGGTCAGGGGTGGGACGGGCTGACGGTCGGGGGTCAACCGGGCAGACGGTCAGGGATGGGACGGGCTGACGGTCGGGAGTCAACCGGG